ATACATATATATATATATACATATGCTTATCGATGCAGATATACTTGTATTTATTTATCTATTTCTTTTATATTTTTATTTATTTATATTAATATATACACACCGAAGAAAGCTGCTTGTGTTGAAGGAGAGTAAAAACAACAAGATAAAGAAGAAGAATGCAATCGCTTGTGTAGACGTCCACCAGACAAAACGCGAAGAGAAGTAGCTGCAGCATAAAAACAAATAAAAAATAAATAATAAAATTAAATTAAATATATAAATAAAATAAAGATGTTTAAATAGAATAGAGACAATAAACATTAATGAATAATAAAGAAACAAAGATAATACAAAAGAAGGCAAAGAAAACGAACAAAAAAAATAGACAGAGGATAATAAAACAAAACAAAATAATAAAGATATAAATAAATATATTTAAAAAAGCATAAAAAAGAATTAAAAAAGAATTAAAAAGAAACAAAAGTATTGTTAAAAAATAAACAAAACAAACAGAGAGAGAGACAAAAAAATAAAGAGAAGAGACAACTGAAGATAAATAAAAAACGACAAAGGGATAAAATGAAGACAAACAAAAAACAAAAATAAATAAATAAATAAATAAATAAATAAAGAAGAGAGAGATAATCAACAGATAAAAAACAAAAGAAACAAACAACTGATTGAATAACAAAAGAATATAAATATAATAATACAAAAAGAAGAAAAGAGAGAGAAAGAGAGACAAAGGACCAAGAGAGAAATAAACAAATAAAAACAAACAGAGATAAATAAAAACAAAACAGACAAAGAACAAACAAATACAAAAAACTAAAATAAAATAAAATAATATAAACAAATGACAACAAACAGAATGCAACAAATAACAAAGAAAGAGACAAACAAAAACAAAGAAAGAGAAACGAACAAAAAAATTAAAAACAATAAACAAACAGACAAAACAAAAAAATAAACAACGCCTAACACACCATCCACCAGTCTTATGCTTCCGTCCTCAGCAGCAGATAAAATGTTGTTGTTGCTGCTGCTGCTGCTGCTGCTGTTGCTGCTGCTGCTGCTGCTGCTCTCCAGCCCTGATAAACCAACAATGGGGCTCGAGTGTAGATGTGCTGCTGCAGCCTGAAATGCAGCAGCAGCAGCAACAGCAGCAGCAACAACAGCAGCAGCAACAGAAGCAGCAGCAGCAGTAAGGCTCACCGGTGAGCAAGGACCGTGAAAAGTGGCACTCAACAACCCAAATCCCTAAACCCTAAACCCTAAACCCTAATCCCTAAACCCTAAGGCCTAAACCCTAAACCCTAAACCCTAAACCCTGTAATGGCTAGGGCTTCACTAACACGGCTGGAGGACGCAGAATTGAGGGTTTAGGGTTTAGAACTACAAAGGGTCTAGGGTTTAGGGTTTACAACTACCAAGGGTTTAGGGTTTAGAGACGCACCTTTGCTAACTTCCCCTCTGAATCCATCTGGTGGCTCTCTATAGTGCCATCTGCAGCCACAAACCCTAAACCCTAAACCCTAAACCCTAAAACCTAAACCCTAAACCCTAAACCCTACAGCAAAACGATAAGCACACCCTTCACCCTGGAGCTGAGGGAATGCGACGAGCTTAGCAATACCCTAAAACCCTAAACCCTAAACCCTAAGCCCTAAACCCTAAACCCTCACCGTCTAAAGCCACGATGACTCGGCTGGTTTCTGCGTGAAAGGCTACAGCCCTAACCTGCAAAGCAAAGGAACAAACCCCCAAACCCTAAACCCTAAACCCTAAACCCTAAACGAGATTCAGTGCTAGTGAGGGCCCCTTATTGGCTCTCTGCTGCGGGCTAGGGTTTAGGGTTTAGGGTTTAGAGCGTTAGTAGCCATGCCTTGCAGGGGAATGTCTTCGAGAAGGAGGAGGAGAAAACCCTCGTTGAGCGGTCTGTACACCGAAACCCTAAACCCTAAACCCTAAACCCTAAGGCCTGACCTTTAAACCCTTAACCCTAAACCCTAAACCCTAAACCCTAGCCATAGAAACGGCTCCATGTGCAACTCAGGCGTCCGTGAACAGAGGCAGAAAACGGCTACAGCTTTCCAGCTGCAGCTGAGGGTTTAGGGTTTAGGGTTTAGGGTTTAGGGTTTAGGGTTCTCACCAACAAACCAAACAGACAGCATGCCCAACTCGTCAGGCTCTACAAGCGTCCACAGCCGCCCCAGGCGGCTCATGCTCGTCTTGTCCTGAACACGCAAACCCTAAACCCTAAACCCTAAACCCTAAACCCTAAACCCTAAACCCTGCTGCACGTTTGCAAGGCCTAACTTTGTGGGGTGAAGGCGACTAGAAATTCTGAGGGTTTATGAAGGGTTAACAAATTAGGGTTTAGGATGAACAGTTTAGGGTATAGGGTTTAGGGTTTAGGCTTTGCACGCATTTAGGGTTTAGGGTTTAGGGTTTAGGATAACCTCATAGCCTGCAACCAAAGCTCCAGAAGCGCGAACAAGAGAAGAGACAGCAAACCGCTGAGGGTTTGTGCTCCCAATCAAAAGGGGGCGAAGGCATTTGCTGTGCACTGCTGCCTGCAGCAGCAGCAGAAGCAGCAGCAGCAGCAGCAGCAGCAGCGGGAGTAGTAGGGGTTACAGGAGCGGCAGTAGCAGCAGTAGCAGAAACGGTAGCAGCAGCAAAAGCAGCAGCTGCTGCTGCTACTCCTGCTGCTAATGCTGGTGCTGCTGGTGCTGCTATTAATACTGCTGCTGCTGCTGCTGCTGTTGCTGCTGCTGCTGCTGACCTGTTCAGTCAAGCAGAGGAAATTCAGCAGCTCTTCAGACATCCGCGTGTCCGGGCGTCGCAGTAACTCCTGCAGCAGCAGCAGCAGCAGCAGCAGCAGCAGTAGCAGCAGCAGCAGCAGCAGCGCACACAACGAAACACGAAGCTGTTGCAGCAGCTGCAGCAAGAAAAGCAGCAGCTGCTGCAGCAAGAACGCGGACAGAAGCAACACCCGGGCATAGCTAGCTAGCTACGTAACTAGCTAGCTACGTAGCTAGCTAGCTATGCAGCCCTATATATATACATATATATATATAGCTAAGTAGATAGCTAGGTAGCTAGCCAGTTGGCTATCCAGCATTCTAGGCAGCTATCTAGCTAGCTAGCTAGCTTGCTAGGTAGCTAGCTAGCTAGCAAAGTATCTAGCTAGCTAGCTAGCTATACGTTTGCTAACCTGCAGGTAATTGAACAGTTTGTTTTTTCGTCTTTGTAAGAACTGCGCATCTGTAGCCGAAGGCAGCAGCGTCTTCGAAGGAAGAGGAGGCAAAGCAGCATAGTCACTGCAGCAGCAGCAGCAGCAGCAGCAAAACAACAGCAGCAGCAACAACAACAATGAGCACAGCAGCAGCAGCAACAGCAGCAGCACAGCTGTCGCAGCAACAGCACCATCAAGCAATACTGGCAGCAGAAATAATACAGTGAAATGCAACAGCCACAGCAGCCGCAGCAGCAGCAGCAGCAATAACGGCAGCAACACCAGCAGCAGCAACAGTAGCACAGCAGCAACAGTAGCAACAGCAGCGCCAGTAGCAATAGGGGCAGCAAAAGCAACCGAAGAAGCAGCAGAAACAGTAAATGCAGCAGCAGCAGCAGCAGCAGCAGCAGCAGCAGCAGCAGCAGCAGCAGCAGCAGCTGACCTGGCTAGCAGCTGTTCGTGAAGAGCTGCAAATTCGCTGTAACGACGCCATACTGAAAGACACCCCACATAAATGCATGCAAACAGAAGCAGGTGCAGCAGCTGCTGCAGCAACAGCAAGAACAACCAGCAGCAGCAACAGCACCAGCAGCAGCAGCAGCGCTTAAAAGCATCAGCAAAGCCAGCAGCAGAAGCAGCAGAAGAAGCAACGACAGAGGCGGCAAATGCAGCAGCAGCTGCGGCACCAAAAGCAGCAGCAAGAGCAACAGCAGCAACAAAAGCGGCAGCAGCAGCAGCAGCAGCAGCAGCAGCAGCAGCAGGGCACCTTCCCAAGCCAAGCTAGAGTATTGTACGGCGACCTTATACGCGACGCGACCCTCCTCTACCTCCTCATAATGAGGAACAGAAACACGCAAAATGCTGCTGTCCATCCTAAACCCTAAACCCTAAACCCTAAACCCTAAACCCTAAGCCCTAAGCCCTGTAGGCGTTGGGCTCTTCTTCCTAGGCCTCCAGCAGCAGCCAGCAACAACAAGAAAAAGAGACAAGGAAGACAGCAGGCTCGTGAGTCACAAACCCTCCAAACCCTAAACCCTAAACCCTAAACCCTAAACCCTTAACCGCTGCTGCGGTCTGAGTATGTGTGTGTGCGTGTGTGTGTCGGCTGCGCTGCTGCTGCCGCTATTGGGGTTTTATGTTTTTGTGCTTCTAATGGACTTAATTAAATTTATAAAAGACAAACAAAAACGAAAAAAAAAGAAGAAAGGAAGAAGAAAGAAGCAGCAGAGCAGCAACTGACATGCAGCAGCAGCAGACGCTGCAGCAGAAGAGTGCAGCAATTAGACTTAGACAATCGAAATAAATATAAATAATTATATTTTTATTTATTTTATTAAATATATTTAAAATATATTTATTTATTTTTCTTTTTATTGCTCTATTTTGTACTCTTTCTCCTGCTTCTTGCAAGCAGACTAAGACAGCCCCGCCGGCCGCTCGAGGCCTCAAGTGTAGTTAGCAGCTGTATATTATCTGTAAAATCGTTTAATTATACTTATTTAATTAATTAAATTTATTTATTTATTTATTTTAATTCATTTAATTAAAGTTTTCTACAACATTTCAAGTAGAAAGCGAAAGACATAACCCCTACGCCCCACGCTGGCCTAACAACCCCCCTTGTCTGCTACAGCTAGCTACAGCTAGCTAGCTAGCTAGCTAGCTGTAGCGTAGCTAGCTGCAGCTAGTTAGCTGTAACTTAGCTAGCTGTATCTAGCTAGCCACATAACGAGCCGCTAGTGCAAGCAGCGAGACGCAATGAGACAAAGACAGCAGCAGCAGCAGCAAAAGCAGCAACATACGCAGCAGCAACAGCAATAACAACAGCAACAAAAGAACAATCGCATCAGCAACAGCAACACCAGCAGCAGCAACAGCAGCAACATTAGCAGTAGCAATAGCAGCAACATCAGCAGCAGCAACAGCAGCAACATTAGCAGCAGCAACAGAAGTAGCAGCAACAGCAGTAACATCAGCAGTAGCAACATCAGTAGCAGCAACATCAGCAGCAACATAAGCAGCAGCAACAGCAGCAGCAGCATCAGCAGCAGCCTCTTCTCTTGTGTATAATGCTTCTTTATACTGCAATACAGAGAAGGGCCTTCTCTTCTTTATTTAGAAAAGGAGACAGCAAACTGCTGTCTCCTTTGCTGTTGTGCTTCGACAACAAGTAATATGAACAAGCTTTATAAATAACATATATTATTATTGTAATAATATATATAATAAAATAATATTATAATAATAAATAATAATAAATAAGAGTAATAACTAACAAACATAATCCTGTCTTGTACTTATAAGCAGTATTAAATAATAATAATTTATTAGAATAATGATATTAATAATATATAATAATAATAAGCATAATAATATTAATAATACTAATAGACAATAATAATAATTAGTAATAATTAATAAACAATAACAAGAATAACAAACAATAATAATAATAATAATAGCAACAACAAACAAAAAAAATAATACGAATGAAAAACAATACGCAAACAAACAACAACAAAACAAAAAGAATAAGAACAACAGCAATAATCTAAAGATAATAATAAAAATAATTATTATTATAATATTAATAATATAAAATAATATATTGAAGTATGCAATACAAAAAATAACAAACAAACAATAAACAAACAGAACAAAGACAATAAAAACAATAATAAATAATAATGATAATAATAAATAACAATAATAAATAATAACAATAACAATAATAATACTAATAATAATAATAATAATATTAATATTAATAATATAAAAATAATATATTTGAGTATGCAATAAGAATAGCCAGTCATAATCAAAAAACAAACAATAAACAAACAGAACAAAAACAATAAAAACAATAATAAATAATAATGATAACAATAACAATAAGAAATAATAACAATAATAATAATAATAATAATAATAACAATAATAATAATAATAATAATAATAATAATAATAAAACCAGCAACGGCATTTGAATTAATGAAAATAACAAACAAACACAAACAGACAAACAGAGCAAAAAAACAAACAAAACAAACAAAACAAACAAAACAAACAAAACAAATAAATATACAAACAAACAATCAAACAAACAAAACAAACAAATAAAGAAGTATACAAACAAACAAACAAACAAACAAACAAAACGACAAAAGAAAATATAAAATTATAAATGTACGGCCCAACTATCATCTTCAGGTGTATCCACAGACACCTGAAAGAAATATATTTAAACCCCGCAGCAGCAGCAACAGCAGCAGCAGCAACAGCAGGGGCTGTAACAGCAGGGGCAGTAACAGCAGCAGCAACAGCAGCAGCAACAGCAGGAGCAGCAGCAGCATCAGCAGCAAGCGAATTCTTAATATTAACTGCAGATCTAGGAAAAAACAAATTCAAACAAACTTCCATCCCAGCTAGCCACAGCTAGCTACAGCTAGCTACAGCTAGCTACAGCTAGCCATTGCTAACTACAGCTAGCCATTGCTAACTACAGCTAGTTACAGCTAACTACAGCTAGCTACAGCTAACTACAGCTAGCTACAGCTAGCTACAGCTAGCTACTGCTAGCTACAGCTAGCTGTAGCTAGAGGAAAGGAGCCACACCTAGCTGAGGGAAGCTCCACAGCTAGCTACAAAGAGATGCAGCTAGCTGCTGCTGGCTGCAGGCTGGCTTGGGATATCTCAGGGCTACAGCTAACCGCTTGCTACTGCTGCTGCTGCGACTATTACTGTTGCTGCTGCTGCTGTTTTATTTTTGCTGTTGCCACACGAAGAGGGAGAGATTGAAAAATAAACGCCCAAAGCAATCGAACAAACAGTGACATTCTGCTGCTGCTGCTGCTGCTGCTGCTGCTGCTCCTGCTGCTCCTGCTGCTGCAGGTGGTGCTCTGCCGCGTCTGCTGCTGCTGCTGACGCCGTTGCTGCTGCTGCCGTTGCAGTACAAGCACCACTACACAATGTTCTCTACCTGCTACAGCTGCTGCTTGCTGCTGCTGCTGCTTGCTGCTGCTGCTGCTTGCTGCTGTTTGCTGCTGCTGCTGCTGCTGCAACCTTGACAAGGCAGTTTCCTGCTCTTTCGTTTGCTGCTGTCGCTCAAACATAAAAACTCTGAACTGCAACAGCAAACCAACGAGCAGCAGCAGCGGGAACAGCAGCAGCAGCAACAACAGCAGCTCCCACTGCTGCCGCAGCAGCAAGCAATAAAGGATAACCAAGCAAGGCGCCATGCTTCCGCAGGCAACAAAAGTAGCAGCACGCCTCGGCTACTCTTGCTGCTGTTGCTGTTACTGCTGCTGCTGCTGTTGCTGCAGGCAGCAGCAGCAGCGGGCTAACGGCATTGGTATCATTCCTTCTGTTGCTGCTGCTGCTGCTGCTGCTGCTGCTGCTGCAACTGTTGCTTCTGCAGCAACTGCTGCTTCTGTTGCTGCTGCAGTTTGTATTTCTGCTGCTGCATGCCATCCCCATGCTGCCTACTGGGCGCGGCTTGCTGCTGCTGCTGCTGCAGTTGCTGCTGCTGCTGCTGCTGCTGCTGCGAAGCCAAGCCAATGCTTGCGATGCAGACGCCCATTTGCTGCTGCCACAGTTGCTGCAATTCCCCTACAAGTTGAGGAGCAGCAGCAACAAAAGACTGCGCTGTACCTACAGCTCTTCTGCATGCTTCAATAGCGGAGGAGGAGAGTGTAGGCAGCCGGAAGCTCTGCTGCTGCTGCTGCTGCTGTAGCTGCTGCAGCTGCTGCTGCTGTTGGTGCTGAAGCTGCTGCTGCTGATGACGGTGAGGATGATGCTGATGGTGATGGCTGTGTTGTTGTTGTTGCTGCTGCTGCTGATGCTGCTGCTGCTGCTGCGTTGCCAGGAAGATGCGGTCATGCCGCTGCTGCTGCTGCTGCTGCTGCTGCTGCTTCTGCATCTCCATGATGCTCTGAGGTGGGGGCTGCAGCAACTGCAGCAGCAGCACAGACACTTCAAACCCCAAACCCTACACCCTCAGCAGCAGCACCCGTTATCTTAAGGCTGCTGCCAAGCAACAGCTGCAGCAGCAAAAACCAGCAGCAGCAGCGGGTGAAGCAATACAATTACCACCCGCTGCAGCAGCAGCAGGTGCTGTAAGAACACCAGCAGCAGCAGCAGCAGCAACAGCAACAGCACCATTAACAGCAGCAGCATTAGGATTTGCAGCAGCAGCACTAAAAGCATTGCAGCAACAGCAGCAGCATTTGCAGCAGCAGCAGCAGCAGCAGCAACATTAGCAAGTAAGGTTTACAGGATGTTTAAGAAGTCTGAGGCTGAGTATAGACCGAACATCTTTTGCTGCTCTCAGTGCATGCAGCAGCGGCAGCAAACAAAGCAGCTGTTCATCTGTCTCGTTGCCGCACCAACCCCCTATATGAAGAAAATTCTCTGTAGGATATATAAAACACCACAAACCCTAAACCCTAAACCCTAAACCCTATACCCTTAACATGCACATGAGGAGGGTAACCGAAAAATAGCACTTATTCTGGGTCTACGGTTTAGGGTTTAGGGTTTAGGGTTTAGGGTTTTCTCCCCCGTTCATGCACGGTACGCGGTGAGGGGCGAGGCATAGGATCTAGGGTTTAGGGTTTAGGGTTTATAGCTTAGGGTTTAGGGTTTAGAGTGTATCGGTTTTAGGGTAAAGAAATTAGTATAATGCAGATTTCTGTTGGACGACGATATCATAATATCTACCGTATATGGAATAGGCTTGAGGCCCTAGGGTTTAGGGTTTAGGGTTTAGGGTTTAGGGTTTAGGGTTTAGGGTTTACCTTGACAGTGGGTGCCGGCTACAAGAGAGTCATCTATAAGGAGGACCTTCGAAAGATCAGATCTGCATTTGCTTAAGTCTTTTACGTAGCCTAATTCTATAAAACAAACAAACAAATAAAATAAAAATAATAAATATATTATATACAATTAATAATAATAATAATAATATAATAAACAAAAGCAATAAATAATAATCATCAGTAAATTTATTCTGCACTTGTTTGGTGCTCTTCACCTAGCTTAATTCAATAAAACAAATTTAAATAAATAAAAATACAATATAAATATATTATACAATCAAGAGCTTCATTCAGACAAAAGCAACAAACAAATACATAAAAAGAAATAAACAAATAAAGAAATAAATATAAATATAAATTTAAAAGTAAAAATAGACAAACATGTTAGAATGCAGTCTTTTCCAGACAAACAACAACAAATAAACAAATAAACAAATAAACAAATAAACAAATAAACAAATAAAATAAATAAACAAATAAACAAATAAAATAAATAAACAAATAAACAAATAAACAAATAAAATAAAAGAAATAAATAAATAATAAATAATATAATTAATACCCGTTAGTATGCAGTCGTTTCTTGAAAAAACGCGATCAACGTAATGCACCAAATTTGTAGCATCTGAAAATAAAATAAAAATAAAATTAAATAAAAATAAAATAAAATAAAATAAAATAATAAAATAAAATAAAATAAAATAAAGATGATAAATTATAATATAAAAATAAAATACAACAAAATAAAAATAAAATAAAAATAAAACAAAATAAGAATAAAGATAAACATAAAAATAAGCAAAACTTGAAGGGATATAACATGGGTCTAAAGAAAGAAAGAAGTGTAAATAAAATAAAAGACAGAAGGAGACAGTAAACAGCAAATAAACAAAATGAGAGTAGACAGTGCACACAAAGAGACGAAAGGAGACAAAAGAAATAAGAAGAGACAGCATAAAGAGCAGTTCAAAAAACGTTTATGAAGACAAAGAGCAATTAATTAAAGAGGCATCAAACCACAAGAAAGACCCCCTCATCATACAACAAACAGGGTTTTAGGGTTTAGGGTTTAGGGTTTTAGGGTTTAGGGTTTAGGGTTTAGGCCTACCTAATACCGCATCCGCGTATTCTTTTCTACTCGCCGTATAAATAACTATTTCATACAAATCGTACAGCTAAGAAAAAACAAACAAAACAGCAAAACCGTGCAGCACCTACAGCAGCAGCAGCAGCAGCGTCTCTAGCTGCAGCAGAAACTACAGTAGCGCCTGCAGCAGGAATGGCTGCAGCAGCAGCAGCTGCTGCTGCAGCAGCAGCTGCAGTAGCTAGAGTAGCTGCAGCACCAGCAGCAGACTGGAGGAGAAAGAGAAGTGCAGAGGAACTCCGGGCTAGCTAGTTGCCTTGCTAGCTAGCTAGCTAGCTGCCTAGCGAACTAAGTATAGCTAGCTGGTCAGCAAGCCACCTAGCTGACTGGCTAGCTAGCTAGCTAGCTAGCTAGCTAGCCAATTGCGTTTACCTCTTGAAGGAAATAATCTGCATGAGGCCTCTTAGCGACTTGGAAGGTGGTGAGTACAGAATTAACCCGCATCAACACGCGCTGCTGCGAATCAAACAGCTGCAGCAGCAGCAGCAGCAGCAGCAAAAGCAAAAGCAGCAGAAGCAAAAGAAGCAGAAGCAGCAGGGCTTTCAGAGGGAGAAACCAGTACAAGAAAGGTGGGTTTAAGGTGCACAGCTGAGGGTTTAGGGTTTAGGAATTAGAGCGTGGGGTACAGGGTTTAGGGTTTAGAGCACCTTGATTCGTGTAGCTAGGATGAGGGTTTCATCTAGGGTTTAGGGTTTAGGGTTTAGGGTTTAGAGTACCTTGATTCGTGTAGCTAGGATGAGGGTTTCATCTAGATCTACAGCGAGAGTCATAGGGGGCCTCGTTCGCTGTCTGCCTCTGAGTTTCTGTTTGCTGCAGCAGCAGCTGCTGCTGCTGCTGCGGCATGAAGCAGCAGCAGCAGCATCATCTTCAGCAGCAGCAGCAGCAGCAGCACTCTGCCTATACGACACATGCCTCTCTCCAAGCAATCGAATGGCGCTGGGCTGTTGCTGCTGCAGCAGCGCAGGCGCTACCCCCTTCTTCCTGCTGCTACTGCTGCTGCTGCTGCTGCTGCTACTGCGTCTCCTGCGCAGCAGCCGCAGCAAATTGCGAGAGTAAAAAGCAAAAGGAGACGGATAATCCCTCATACACCCCATCATGAAAGGCAAACCCTGAAGAAGGGTTCGTGCTAAATAAGCAAATAAACCCGTTGCTACTGCTGCAGGCCATTCTTGCTGCAGCAGCAGCAGCAAACGCTGCAGCTGCTGCTGCAGCGGCACCATACACTCCCATACAAAACTCAACATCCTTAGATATACCACATCACCCCGGATTACCCTCCTGATAGAACCCCCGCCTACTCCTGCTGCTGCTGCTGCTGCTCACGCTGCCGCTGCTGCCGCTCCCGTTGCTGCTGCTGCTGATGCTGCTACTGCTACTGCTGCTCCTCCAGTTGCTGCTGCTGCTAGCTGTAGGAGGCAGCGGGAACAGACCCGCCACCTCCTGTTGTTGCTTGGATTGCTGCTGCTGCGTAGTTGCTTGGGTTGCTGCTGCTGCTGCAGTTGCTGTTGCTGCTGTTGCTGCTGTTGCCGCTGCAGGTTTCAACGCTACCCTTGTCCGCAAGAGGAGCCGCTTCTGTGTTGCTGCGAGTTTCTGTAGTGTGTATTTTGCTGCTCTTTGATATGTCCGTGCTGCTGTTGCTGCTGCTGCTGCTGCTGCAGCTGCCGGCGTTGCTGCTGCTGCGCCCCTGCCTTAAGCAGCTTGGTTTGGGAGCAGTTTAGGAGGAAAAAAATGAGGTGTATAGGCAGCTAGAAGTGTTGCTTCCTTGTATCTGTCTGCATGCAATCATTTGAGGGACCCGCTGCACTGGGGGGCCCTGTCTTGTTACTGAGGTTTGCTGCGGTGTACTCCTCCTTAGGGTTAAACCCTAAACCCTAAACCCTAAACCCTAAACCCTGAATATTAAACAAAAATAATGATCGGGGCAGCGCTAAGCGGCAATTAAAAATATATTCCATCCCGCCGCCCGGCCCCCCGGTGCATGCTCTCAAACACTAAACCCTAAACCCTAAACCCTAAACCCTAAACCCTAAACCCTAAGCTCTAAGCCCTAAATCCTAAACAGTATATTCTCTCAGCCTGGAGTTTTAGATTTAAATTGACGACGAGTTGAACCCTAAACAGGCGGCGCACAGGCCTCAATACTTCATGGTAAAACCCTAAACCCTAAACCCTAAACCCTAAACCCTAAACCCTAGTCGGTACACCGCCTCAACTGCACTTAACCCGCAGGGCTGCACCAGCAAACAACAGAAATGAAAGAGGAAGGGGGAGTGAGAGTTGACGAGTTGTATTTCTCCTCAACTTCGTAGACTATCGGGCCCCCGTTCACGCATAGTTTAGGGTTTAGGGTTTAGCGATTAGGGTTAGGGTTTAGGTTGAAGGTTGCATTGCTGGTTAATGGAGCTTCGGTCCAGTTGAAACGTCCTGCATAGGAATCTGTCTCAAGCCACCACTGTATATAAATAAATAAATGTACATATATATAGTGCTGGCCTCAGAATTACTTTGGATATATATATATATATATATATTCTCAAGCTCAGCTTGGGTATTGCAGGATGATTCATATGCAGTTGTTAGGTGTATCCTTACTCGTTTGCATGCCGCCTGCTGATAGCCAAGTGGGTGTAGAGGGTTTAGGGTGTAGGGGGTCGAGTTTTCTGCAGTATTAGCGCATGCATCAAGCAGGGCTTTGTTCTGCTTGCGTGCAGTTGAGGGGAGTTGGCGGCACGGCTCAGAGAGGCCCCTCGCAGCTCAAATAGGGCTGTCTCCTCTATCGTACCGGCAGGCCCCTTTGTTGCAGTGTTTAGGGCGCCTACGGACATGGGGAGTGTAGCCTTTCAGATGCTCTTTAGGGACTCTTTCTTGCAGCATTTTAATTTGTTTGCACCTCACGAAGGTCCCCGAATATATTCATCAATTATTTGCTGTAGATCTATTACCGGAGAAGGAAGCGAAGTGATGCTCAGCAATGGCTACACCGTAGGTGCTCGCAGCAAAGGTAAGGGGTGCAGACCTTTTCCTGCTTTCGTGTAGGATCGCCTTGAAGCAGCAGACGCAGCAACATGCGCTGCAGCACAGCAGCAAAAGATAGGCCGCCCCTTCGCCTCGCTAGCCCCAGGCCACTGATATGCTGCTCCAACAAACCCTAGAGACGGTAGGGGAGGCTATTATCCGCTTCTCTGCAAGTTTTCTTGAATTGCAGATGCAGAAATTACTCATATCAGCCCCCGCACATTGATATTAAACTCAGTGGGGAGTTGTGCATTTGGGAGATGAGCAGTTGCTGCAATTATTTTATGATTTTCGCAACAATGTCGATTCAATAGTGCAAAATGCACTTGTAAAAGGCTTGTTATAATGCTGTGTCAGGGCTTCTGCTCTAGACCGCGACTGTTCGCAGCCTAGCTCCGGTTGTGGTTGGTAGCAACAGACAGATCATCGCTGCAGCTCCCCACCCTGCAGGGAGTGTTGGTGCTGCTTCATAGCAGATGTAAGTTGTGGAGGGGCTTAGAAAACCAAATCTGTTTGTATTATCCAGTCATACTTCTCACAGCTCAGGCCTTCATCATACCGCACAGTGGATATTGATGAAGATTTGCATTACAAGACCAGACGGGACCAGCAACTGTCCGACTCGTCGCGCTAGAACAAAAGCAGTATCTGCTCCCCATTAAGCTGAGCTTCTCCTTACAGCCAAAACAACTTATTAAAAAGTTACCTCCGGCTGTGCAGACTGACTTAATATGGCCGGCGTTGCAGTGCGAGGGCAGTAGAGAAGGATTTTTTTCAGTGGCTGTGCGCAGTCGTCTTCAAAGTGAACCTGAGGTGCTACAATTGCCGTTGTTTTCTTCGTTGTAAGCAGAGGGGGCACGACAGTGGTGACGTCTCTGACCGTATATTTCGCTGGCAGCAAAAAGAGAGAGACACAATGGAGTATATGGTTTTAGGGTTTTGGATTGAAGGTTTAGGGTTCATGAGGGTTGAATGAGGGGTCGACTCAGAAAGTGGGTTTCTTACCGAGATGCGCACTTTCTCTGTTGGGTCAATCCACCATGCAAAAGTCAAACCAGGCCCCACGTATTGAGTCTCGAGAGACTCGCATTGATTTATTCTTGACATAAGACAATGGGGTGACGTACTGTTCAGGGCCCGCAACAGCCTTTGCATTCTTTGCTGTAAGGAGGGTCAAAAAGGGTGCTCCAAGACCTCGAGCGTATAGGCGCCGCCGGCAAAGTGAGAGAATTGCGTGCACTTCATGGTGACCATCTTACAAAGACCGCATTTTGGGCTGATTGATTGATGCTTGTAAGAACCGGGGAAGAGCAGAAGAGGGGTATGTAAAACTATTCGTCTCAAAACTACTAAGCAACAGGGGGCTTTTGAATCGCGAGCCTCCCCTTAGGTTACCCGATGCAACGAACTTTGCCCTGGCGCAGACCCAAACTTCTTTCCGATGCCCGCGCGTCGCCTTTATGTCTCAGCACAGGTGGAGTTTCTTTTCTTTATGAAGAGGATGCTAGTTGTAGCTTTCGCCCTGCAGGCGCACTGGTGAAGCCGTGCAAGCCTGATATTCTTGAGGAACTACAGACTCGTTGAGTGTGAGTAGCGACGGCCTATCGCTCTATATATAAGCCTCACAAGTGGCTTCCTATGATATGGAACATGGTTTCTACCCAGTGCATCTATCCCCAACCTTTAGAAGATATCTAGGCGTTCCGTACAAAGAGAAATCGTATCGTTGTCGGCTCATGCCTCAAGGGTTCGTCAACGGACCGGCAACTTTGATGCATTTTATGAATAGTATTCTGCCGGATGATGAGAGAATCGTCCATTATATGGGTAGCACTTCCGATGTCAACTTGCGCCAAATAGTTAGGGACATGGGGCTGCAAATTAAGGCTACGAAAACAAAGAACTTTTTCTATGAAACGGTGGCCGTTGTCGGGTCGGCAGGAGGCATGTTGGCCGTACGTGTCAGTTTGAACCGAGGCAGAAATCGGTGTCATATATGAATCTTGTCTGGCGACAATATCGAGATAACCTAACGAAGGGGAAAGCATACCGCCTAGCTTGCCTCACCCGGTTCTTTGCTCCCTTCCTACCGGATCCAGCTTACCTAGATGAGCTGTAAGTTTAGGTGCGAGACAAGGATATGGAGGAATGGGTAGCCGGGAATCCCCCGTTCCGTCTAACCTGGTCATTTCGGGTTAAAGCCGAAGCGAGAAGTGAATGCATACTTGGATGTGTCTCAGGCAAGCTTTAGGCTGGCGGTAACTGGGGTAACTGAGGGGGCGTCGCTAGCCTCCAGCCTTTCTGGGTCGGAGACACCGCTTCCTGGCGGAAAGCTGTGGGGGGTATACCGAGAGCTTAAGGCCATTAAAATAGTTGACTGTCGGCTTCGTAGAGCTATGGTGCGCTCAATGGTTCAGAGACAGCCTCTCCACCACTCAGGCACAACGGACCAAGAAGTTCAACAACTGGGCCCCTTCTTGCCAGGGCTATCTTACGCGATTTGCAACAGAAGTGGCAGTTTGTACCCGGTTCAAATAACCGCTCCGATGAGGTCTCTCTACAGTTCATCTAGTTCGTCTAATAAACGCACCCTGAACATGAAGCTTCCTATCTTTTAGCGAGTAGGTAGAAAGCGTCGTAGACGCCCCTCCACCCCCTATCCGATGTCGCACCCGGCGCGCCCCGCACGCCGCGCTCGCGTCCGTGCGCCGCCGACTCCCGTCCCCTTCTGTGAAATATCGTCAGGGGAGCGGCGGACAACAGTGATTCAGAAGAGAAAATGTTCCTTTGTTGAAATGCCTCCGGGTAAACAGCAAAACATCAAAATGGGTCCATATTAAGGGGTAGATCATGGATTTCAGCATGGACGGATCACCCCCGGGTGACATCACTGGTGGAAGATAGTTTCACTGACGTTCACCAATCCTGAGGTACACAGATCCTCGGATATAATGTGCATCATTAGAGCGCTGGAGACCGAGACAGATCCTCGGACGGGGCACTCCAGCAAACCCGGTCATCGCACGAGTGACCCGAAGGGACGCCACTCCGAAGAAGCCTGCCACCTGCCAATGAATGCCACAACGTCTTTCACAAAGCTCGTTTTCGATTGTCTCGCGGGCAGTCTATGCCCAACTGCAGGAAAGGGGAGGGGGTCCTCGTTCACGCTCTCCCCTCGCACACTTAAGAATTTGATCACTGGGAGTCGGGGGGAGGAGATCGGTTCCTCAATAACGAACGATGGTTGGAGATAGCCTCCAATCCTACGGGACGTCCTGCCTGAAGGACCAACCGTCTTCACGCGCGCCTGAGCTGTAATAGTGTGGCCCAGTGCGGTTACTTAGCCCTTCCCTACAGATCTCTGCACCATATGGTGCGTGTAGAGGAGACCGGGCTCCTCCTCCTGGTAGTCTTCTACCGTCGGTGTAGTGGGCACCCCGGATTTGCTGCGTGGTGCTTCTGATGAGGTTCTTCTGGTCTAGGTCGGGCCCTTCTGTTTTCTGAACAACAGATCATTCGCCGTTCCAAAGGTCGACTCGCAGCTTGCTATCGACATGGTTCCTGGGAACTCTGACCACTACCTGCTTGCATCTACTTTCGTGCCTCTCCTAAGATTTTCAATTGGTGCTAGGCTAAACCTGGGGTGGCTGCAGCCAGACGTCACCCACTGTAGTGCACAGGCCCTACATGTAGTGAACAGCTCTCAACCGCTGTCACTACGCGAGATTCCTGGATTATGCTGAATATGTAGTGAACAGCTGGCCTACGCTGTCACTACGATATATCCCTAGGTAGGCAGGATAGGTGCGCACACTCTCCGGACACCAAGAACTATAATTCTCGCTGCTACCACTAACAAACACAATCAACTACCCAGTATATGGTCGAGTTCCAAGTCTTGTTCCCTAGGGAAAACCGGAACAATAGAACTGGTGCCCGACCCTCGCCGAGGCCGTGGGCCAGGGTCGAAACAACAGCCTCGCACCCAGCCCCGAGCTGGTGCCGGCTAGCGACTACTCTGATCCTATGAAGCTGCTTTTCTATCTAAAAGTGCTCTAATCCCCGAAATATTCTACAATATTCGTTGCTTTACATGATTTTAGGCCTATAAAGGCCACACCAAAGCTCCATTGTAGTGCCAGTGCACTACGCATGACCTGACTGAGGAACCCAGTTGGCTGTCCATCTTGTTCGAGTACGCCACCAATGGCGTCGCCGGAGGCATCGGTGTAGAGTTCAAAAGGCTTAGAGGTGTCGGGGACCTCAAGGGTGGTGTAGTCAATGAGACGTTGCTTGAGTTGGCGAACCGCCTGGGTGTGTGCGTCTGTCCAATGAAAGGGGATGTCTTTGCGAGTCAGGGTAACCAGGGGACGGGAAATGTCTGCATAATCAGGACCCATAAACATACGACAGTAATTTCCTAGCCGTGTGCCCCCTGCCTTTACACTGGTAACACACCATCTCTGTTCGGTCACCCGATGCTCGGGTGTACCGTCTAGTCTCAGTAGACACTGGCGCACGTGGAAACTCCGCTGCTCTTCCTGTCAGACTAAGTTGGAACTCCCCTTCCTGCCTACGGAATTCCTCCTGTGCGGCTGCCCACGGGGCGGCTACAGCGGCTAATGCCTTGGATGCAGCCCGCCAACAACTGAACTGTATCGTGCCTTGCTGTGTTACGGCCCACCTGAGTTCCGCTGGGATATTCGTCAAGAAGTAACCAACTAGGTCTTCTTCCGACAGCTGAACTCCGCGAGCTGTGATTCGACTGAAGTTAGCCGAGTAGGCGCTGCAGTCCCCAGTCCATTTGTTAGCTGCCATTGGGTAAATGACTGTTGCTCGATCTACCGTGCAGAAACTTTTTAGTAGTTCCTGTTTAACGAGTGGCCAATCAGTCATGTTAGTCTCTCGACCGTAGACCCCGTGGCACAGCCCAATACCGACACAAGGAGACGCGTAGGAGAAAGAATAGAAACATATAGGGCTGAGGTTAACTCTATCTGGAGATGAGGAGATTCAACCGGGGAAGGGTGGAAGTTGTAGTGAACTGGCAGTACAATGGAGCGCAAGTGGGGCCTTCAGAGACCTTGCTAGATGCAAAGAACTAGTACCATGCGAATAGAGACAATTGCAATACTTTAGGTGGAAATCTAAGACAAACAAGCCAAGAATGCTCGGCATCCGCGCCGGGATTATTTTGCTGGCTATGAGACTGTTGATGCAGCTGTCTGACTGAGGGAGGAGTTACGCATCAGATTATTCTTCTGGGATTTTCCTTTTTAAGGTAATGGGACTTGAATATATTTTAAAGTCGTTCATTTGAATTCTTGAGTTGTTATAACCCACATAGGTTTCGTTAGTGCGTAGGAGCAGTGTGTGAACCCAGTTGGGCTGAGATAGGGTACGCTTGTAGTGACAGCTGTGTCTGCTGTTCAGTACAATAAGAGTGCAGTGGGCGGCGCCGCTCTCGCGGGCACTTTCCTGTTTTATCCTTGCATTTATTTTATCTTAGTTCTATTACTACTATTACTATTGTCATTATTGCTTGTGTGCGTCCATGAGGAGCGAAAATATGCCACCTCGTCATCTTATTAGTGGCATGCATGACGGAATAATGAATGAATGAATGAATCGTGCTACCCGATGGTGCAGCCTACACACTTAGGGATGCATGCAATTCATTTCAGATGCATGCACACAAGCAATAATGACAACAATAATAGTAATTGAACCAAGATAAAATAAATGGAAGGATAAGACAGGAAAGTTTGCATACATATATGTATATTTCCATATAGTATATATACATATGTATATATATATATATATATATATATATATGCAGTATAAAAATAATATATCAACAAAATGACAGAATCGAAATAAAGGTACAAATAAATGAACAAATAAAATAAAAATCAAATATAGAAAAAGAAACAAGCAAATAATATAAACCAGAATAAAATAGGATAGAACAAAGAGAACCCAAGGGATAATAGTATTATCACTATGGATACACACACACGCATGCAGATATATAATGATACCGAGATAGACCAGAGCAAACCGTAGGGATAATAATAGCAACATTAAAGTTACACACAAATGCATGCAGAGGTATAAAAATACCTAGATAGAGGAGAAAGCAAGAAAAACACTGCATTAACCAGGAAATCGCAAGTAATCAATTAATACTCAAGATGGATTTAAAAGTCAAATCAGATACGACGAAGAGAATAGTGATATCAATATTAACAGCTATGCATATGTAGGAATAAAATTAAAGTAAGTTGAAGGAAGGAGACAAACAGGGCGAGAAATGTAACATCATCAGCGAGCCCAAGGATCCAAAAAGTAAGCGCGATAATAAAGGTGAACATACGGAAAGTTTACGGAAACCAATTACACTAAGCGTAATAAATGAGTAACAAATTATTCTCTGAACTGGCAATGAGCTGCCCTAGACACGGGTAAGCCGAGAGCAATTGGCAACTTTACGAAATTTGACGTAGTGAGAAGCACATGCCTAAATAGACAGCTGGTAAGGAAGAGCGAACTAGCTAGCACCAAGGAAATCTACTGCGAAATGAAAAACGATAAAAAATGGACGCAGTTACTTCGAGAATAATCACATAGTTACTTAAGGTAGCCACGCATTTTGTTAGGACACACCTCCCTATAGGAGTGTATTCCCGAGTAATGGGAAAGGCGCCCCCAACCAGGAAGACGAACGACTAAGGATCGAATGCACGTGCAGGGAAGAGCTAAGCCCTTGGAAGGAAAGAACAAGGAGGGACCCATGGATACGAGGAAAGCATGCATGAAGATAAGTACAGGCGCGCAAGCCTATACAGGAACCCGGCAGAAGACACAAAGAACAGAAGCAAGTGTAACTAACGCAGGCCTGGACAGAACACCTGCACAAAAGGCGAAGGCGGTTAACAACGGGGTGCCAGCGATAATGAAGTGGGCAGGCTAAGGATTCGGAGCATGGGAGTCTGAAAGTACTCTGTAGTTAAGCAAAACCACACAGAATGGTGCTCATGCCACCTCTTCACCTCCCCACCGTTGCAGGATCACTGGTCGCAATAATGCCAGTCACTTGCAAATCACAGAAGGGCACAGCAGGAGACAGCCCTTGAGGGTGACTGCAGCAGAAGGAGCGTTGGGCGGAGAACCTGGGACGAGCAACAGAGACCTGAGGCTTCGCGGCGCATACCAGCAGAACAGGAGTAGTGCTCGGACGCCAGTGTAGAGGAGCAAGAGGCTCTCTTACAAGCATATGCTAAGCAACAGCACAGGAAGCCCCACTGCTCAGGAGCTGCAGAGAGACAGCGAGGAATTTTCAAGAATCGGAGAAGCGGATGCAATACGGGAAGGAGAAAAGCTGCAGTGCACAGGCACTACTTACAATGGTGCTCAAATTAGCCCTCTAGTGGCCCGTTGGGCAGAATGAATAAAAAAAGTCTTATGATAAATGTATCCAGTGACAAAATAAGAGTATGAGGCTAAGAGCTAAGAGCTCCGCAGATACCCAGTGTTTGAGGCTGGCTGTGAGGCTGGCATTATCTCTTAGGCGTTGAGCCACTGGGGGTCAGCGGACAGTCAGCTATATCATGCTTCATATTATTGTGAAGATGAGACTCAGATAAACGGAGAGAGAGTATTATTTGAGATATTAAGGTTATTTCAAAGTTTTTGCGCTGAGTGCAGCATATATGTATCCAGTATGCCCCTACAGAGGTATGTATAGAGCTGAGAAGTGGTAACAGCAGCAAGCGCTGCTTACTACAGTTTATCTCTGCTTCAACTATGGCGGCCGTAGGCTACCAAGGGAAGCCCCAGTTGGATGCCCCTGCACCTACAGCACATCTCCCTAAGCAGCAAAGCCTTATAGAATAAGCTGCTGATAAAGAGGAGACAGTTTTATTCTTACTTTGCCTTCACCCCCACTTGAGGCGCTCTCATAGGGGACAGCTAATAAGGAGAGAGAGGAAACGACGTATACAAGTATCTTTTCTAATTCATTTTAATCCTTCCTCTTGCATAAATATTAAATATATTATTATTATTATTATTGTTATTAAAAGGTAATAAGAGACACTTCGTTCTTATTGTATAAAGGGAGAGGAGGATAAGGGGGGCCCACCAGTCGGCAGCAGTTGCATTGACTGTACACTGCACGGGAGAGACAGCCCCTTAATGCGATTATTTTTGTGTATTTATGTTTAAATCGAGACATAAATTCAATGAAAATATCGATGTCTTTAAGTCTATAGAAGTACTTCTATAAATACTTCTCTCATTTCCTGTGTACGTACGTGTGCTCGCGGGGGCCCCCTGAGGTTGAGCAGAGAAAAAAAAGGAATGACTGCGAGTAATGCATTAAAATGAATATTTTAATTTTTTCTTTTTTAAAAACAAAATAATAAATTAAAATTAATTATTCTTTTTGCTTTTTATTCAAAAGTTTGCGCCATTACGAAAGCAGGCGGGAGACCCGATTTATTATTGAACAACTCAATACAGCTTTATGTTGCTTCAGGTGTATGCACAACTCAATTTGTAGCCCCAAATCATCTCTGTATTTCGGGTGTACGTACACCTGGAGGCGAGTGGGAGACACAGCCCCTGCTGAAGAAGACAAGCATATTTTGCTGCTGTTGTTGCTAGTGTTTGCTCGTCTGAGTTTCTTGCTCGCCTTTTATCCCTAAACAAAAAAATATATCTTTTCTCTCTTCTAAATGCACAAATCTTTGCAGCTAGCTGGACTAGCCGATCCTTTTGCATGCTGCAAGAAGTGCTCAAGGGTTTAGGGTTTAGGGTTTAGGGTTCAGGGTTTAGGGTTGAGAGTTTAGGAATAGGCTGCAGCAAGAGATGGCTGCGGGAATCCCTACAGTTTAGGGTTTAGGGTTTAGGGTTTAGAGCGTTAGGCGGCCTGTTCATACGTTAACAAGACCCTCCGCCTCAATTGTCGGCCCACTACATGCAGCAGCAACCGCAGCAGCAGCAGCAAGAGCAGAAACAAAAGCAACAGCAGCAGAAGCAGAAGCAACAGCAGCAGCAGGGACAGCAGCAGCAGGGTTTCCCTCTGTAGATGTCTTTATTTTGTATCTGCAGAGACACCCGAAAAGCCCTTCGGGCAGCAGCTGCTGCTGCAGCGCTTCGTTTACTGCCCACTGCTTGAAGCAGCAGCAGCAGCAGCAGCAGCAGCAGGAAAGGTCCTTGTGCCGATGCAGCAAGCGCTCTGTAAAGATGAACTCAAGGGGTTCGCGAGTCTCCCTGCTGCAGCAGAGGAGGTTGAGGTGTACAGACACCTCAACAGACGCCCCTAAACAAATTCATTTGTTCCACTGGAGAGAGATAAGGCGAGAGCAGCAGCAGCAGCAGCAGCAGAAGCAGGAGCAGCAGAAGCACCAGCAGAAGCAGCAGCAGCACCAGCATCACCGCGAGCAGCAGCAAAAGCAGCAGCAGCAGCAGCAGCACCAACAACAGCTGCACCCCCAGCATCAGCACGGCGGTCTGCATCCAGTGTTGTTGCTGCTGCTGCTGCTGCTGAGTTTGCTGCTTGCTGCTCCTTCTCCATCGTCTGCAGCAACTGTTATATGCCCTCGCGGTTCTTACTTTGATGCTGCTGCTGCTGCATGCAAATTATGCCCCGAAGATTCTTTTTCTCCTTCTGCAGGCATGACTGAGTGCATTCAGGTTTGTTTTTCTGTCTCCTTTTCATTGTTTGTCTGTCTCCTTTTCTTTGTTTGCTTGTCTCTCTTTATTTCTTTATTTGTCTCCTTTTACTTCTTTAGTTGTCTCTTTTTGTCTCC